ATCGCTGGCGCTTCTCGAGCATTGGAGGCTCTTCCTCCTCCTCCTCCTCCTCCTCATCCTCCTCCTCCTCATCCTAGCTAGCTGGCTAAATGCGAGGCCCACACGCAAGGGAAAAGCAACATGGAGAGCGCCCAGGAAAAAGTGTAAGTTCACGGATTCTCTCCTCACCGCTGGCGAGAAGTCGACTTGCTGGCGGATGTGCCGAGCGAGCAGCCCTTGTGCCATAACTGTGAAGAACGTGGCGAGTGCTTTCGGCAACTCGATCTGGTCTGAATGAGACAAATACCACCACTGCTCGAGCTACGCTGGATGAGGATTGCAACCTTCGTATGCACCGATGCGGGATCATCATGGTGGTATGTGACGGCGGGCGCGGGGACCCCGTCTGATAAAACCTTACCAGGGGGGAACCGTGGGGAGGGGGGCCTTCACGGTCGCTGCGTTTCTCTGGAATGATTCTCGGGTTACGGCCTCGACCACATACCATATCATATGTGGCACTTGTTGGCTTTAACATGGCAGCACGTTCAGAGTAAACTGTATACTGTAAAGTGCGCCGACGGTGTAAACAAAACGGTTGTGGCCTCGAAGGGGATGGCTTTTCATCATGTGTCCGACAAGAGCTCCAGACCTGCATCGCACTCTTGATGGGAAGCTTCACCCCTACAGATACTCTCAGAAAGTTGGACAACATGAGCGATCGAAACAAGTGGCCTCTCGGAGCGATCGGACACGACAGTTGGGCCGACTCCAGAAATTCTGACTCAAACGATGTCGGCGTACAACGTTTTATCGGCTGCACGAAAAAGCGGCTCGAGGCAAGAGTGACCCTTGGTACGCGGCTTCACGGCGGCCGCGGGGGGGGGGCCAATCCACGCAATCCAAGGGCGCTAGCCGCTACTGCAGGGACCCCTGTGGGCCCGCACCAGAAGACAGTCCTGCAAAGGGTCACTCTTACGCGTGGCCGAATCTGCTTCCGCCGACCGTCGCAACTGTCGGAGGTTGGGAGCAGAGATCGCGGGAGGAACGGGGAGACCCCCACTGGGACATGGGCTTCGGCTTCGTGTTTGCGTCGCGCTTGCGAGGGAAGCGAAGCTGCGTGGGCGCGCGACACGAATGATGCCGCCGTGGCCAGGGGCCGTGAAGCCGTTTGGGTGGGCGCGCGGGTGCCCAAGGTGCCCCGTCGGAGGCGCGGGGGTGCCCCATGAGTGGCGCGGGGGTGCCCCGTCGGTGGCGGTGCCCCGACCGTGGCTCAGGGCGTCCCGCCGCGGTGCCCCGATGGCAGTTCGCGCAGTCATCGAGAAATCGATGGTGAGATCGAGATCGAAAATTCGCCGGCCCAACGGGCCAGAGGCGTGCTAAGATCTCTGGTAACTACTTCACAATATTTCTAGTTCGCGCGCGCGGGGCGGCCCCCATGGGGGGCCCCAGACGAAAGTGCCCCGGCTGATCCCCGGCCGGGTCCCGGGCTATCCCTAGGGGGGAGGTTATTCTCTTGCACAGGGTGTCTAGAGCTCCGACCACTTTATTTCGGCACCGCACCCCCCCTCCCATCATAATCACCATCATCATCATCATCATCATCATCATCATCCACGTCATCATCATCATGCGCCCCCTCCGTCTCAGCGCCATCCCGCGGCTCCAGCGCCCGCCCAGTGCCCCCTCCGCCCCGACCACTTTATTTCGGCACCGCACCCCCCCCGCTCCGCCCCCTCCCCCGCGCCGTCTCAGCGCCCCCCCGCGGCTCCAGCGCCCGCCCAGTGCCCCCTCCGCCTCGACCACTTTATTTCGGCACCGCACCCCCCCCCGCTCCGCCCCCTCCCCCGCGCCGTCTCAGCGCCCCCCCGCGGCTCCAGCGCCCGCCCAGTGCCTCCTCCGCCCCGACCACTTTATTTCGGCACCGCACCCCCCCTCCCCGCTCCGCCCCCTCCCCCGCGCCGTCCTCAGCGCCCCCGCGCGGCTCCAGCGCCCGCCCAGTGCCCCCTCCGCCACGACCACTTTATTTCGGCACCGCACCCCCCCTCCCCGCTCCGCCCCCTCCCCCGCGCCGTCTCAGCGCCCCCCGCGGCTCCAGCGCCCGCCCAGTGCCCCCTCCGCCCCGACCACTTTATTTCGGCACCGCACCCCCCCCCGCTCCGCCCCCTCCCCCGCGCCGTCTCAGCGCCCCCGCGGCTCCAGCGCCCGCCCAGTGCCCCCTCCGCCTCGACCACTTTATTTCGGCACCGCACCCCCCCCCGCTCCGCCCCCTCCCCCGCGCCGTCTCAGCGCCCCCCCGCGGCTCCAGCGCCCGCCCAGTGTCTCCTCCGCCCCGACCACTTCATTTCGGCACCGCACCCCCCCTCCCCGCTCCGCCCCCTCCCCCGCGCCGTCTCAGCGACCCCGCGCGGCTCCAGGCGCTTCCGCCCAGCGCCCCCTCCGCCCCGGAACCAGTTATTTTCGGGCACCCGCACCCCCCACCCTCCGCTCCCTTCCACCCGCCGCGTCTTTTTAATTTTTCGCGGGCGTCGTCGCCGGCTCCTCCAGCGCCCCGCCCGCGGCCTATAGCCGGCCCACCGCCCTATTTCGGCACCGCACCCCCCCTCCCCGCTCCGCGCCCTCCCCCGCGCCGTCTCAGCGCCCCCCCGCGGCTCTAGCGCCCGCCCAGTGCCCCCTCCGCCCCGACCGCTTTATTTCGGCACCGCACCCCCCCCCCGCTCCGCCCCCTCCCCCGCGCCGTCTCAGCGCCCCCCCCCGCGGCTCCAGCGCCCGCCCAGTGCCCCCTCCGCCCCGACCACTTTATTTCGGCACCGCGCCCCCCCTCCCCGCTCCGCCCCCTCCCCCGCGCCGTCTCAGCGCCCCCCCGCGGCTCCAGCGCCCGCCCAGTGCCCCCTCCGCCCCGACCACTTTATTTCGGCACCGCACCCCCCCCCGCTCCGCCCCCTCCCCCGCGCCGTCTCAGCGCCCCCCCGCGGCTCCAGCGCCCGCCCAGCGCCCCCTCCGCCTCGACCACTTTATTTCGGCACCGCACACCCCCCCGCTCCGCCCCCTCCCCCGCGCCGTCTCAGCGCCCCCCCGCGGCTCCAGCGCCCGCCCAGTGCCTCCTCCGCCCCGACCACTTTATTTCGGCACCGCACCCCCCCTCCCCGTTCCGCCCCCTCCCCCGCGCCGTCTCAGCGCCCCCGCGCGGCTCCAGCGCCCGCCCAGTGCCCCCTCCGCCCCGACCACTTTATTTCGGCACCCACCCCCCCCCCCGCTCCGCCGCCTCCCCCGCACCGTCTGAGCGCTCCCCCGCGGCTCGAGCGCCCGCCCAGTGCCCCCTCCGCCCCGACACCCCCCCCCATCCTCCGCCCCCTCCCCCACACGTCTCAGCGCTGCCCACGGCTCCAGCGCTCGCCCAGCGCCCCCTCCGCCCCGCCCACTTTATTTCGGCACCGCAGCCCCTCCCTGCTCCGCCCCTTCCCGGACACCGTCTCAGTGCCCCCACGGTTCCAGCGCCCGTCCAGTGCCCCGCGGCCCCAGTGCCCGGCCAATGTCTTTCCTGCCCCGGTGCGCCCCTTTCGCCCCTTCCCCCCAGTGTTCCCCGCGGCCTCAGCGGGGCCTTCTCCGTGCGGTTTCCTTCCGCCCCGCCCATCTTCTTTCCGCCCTCGCGAAGTAACACACGAGCGCCACAAAACGCTTAGGACATCGGGGATCCGGGTCATTACGAAATTGCAATTCTGGTTGCAGCAGCAACAAGAAACTGGGGATCCGGGATTCGCCCTCTGGAGCCCCTCTTGCGGCCTTGTTTTGTTCACTCCTTCTGCGATGTCTGGCATCCTCTCCCCCCCCCTCCTCCTCCACATCCTCCTCCTCCCCCTTCCTTTTTGCGCAAGAGCCATGGCACACGTGCCACTTGTTTTTCGCCACCTCTCACGAGGATCGTGGCCTCCGTGGGGGGGGGGCTGCAATCGACTACCCCCCCTCCCGCCCCAAGGGGACGCTCCCAAGAAGCCCCGAAGAAGCCCCCAAGACGGCCCCAAGAGGCCCCAAATAGCGCTCCAGGGCCGGCGGAATGAGCGAAACGATTAAATAAAGCTGATGGCGAAGTCGATCACAACATATCTTCGGTTGGAGGTGCCCCGCCGTGGTTGACGGTGCCCCATCGTGGTGTCCCGAAGGTGTCTCGTGAGATCTTTTGCGAGGTCGATAATGAGATCACATGTCGTATCGATATGGGGATCGATCGTGGGACCGATGGTGCGACCAGAGCGATGATGAGATCGATGGTGAAATCGATGTTGAAATTCGTTGCGAGGACGATAGTGAGATCTGGAGTGAGCTCGACAGTGGGAGATTGTCCCGCTGGTATCCCGAACGTAGTGAACGTCACACGCTGCGAGATCGTTAGTGAGATCTGTTGAGGGATCGACAATGAGATCGAACGTGACATGCATGGTGAGACACAATGTGCGTCCACATCGCACTATGCGAAGGTCCGTGGATCGCGAGCTGGGAGTGCTCCCAGTTCCGCTCCCAACTAGAAGTGTGAAAGAGAGAAGACATGGCGGCAATTGCATGAATAGAGCAGCGGTCCTTTTCCTTTACCAATATACTACCGTGCGCGCACTGTGAGCTAGAATGGCGGCGGCTGCGCGCCCGTACTCCTAGTCAATGAGGGGGAGGGAGCAGGAGGGAGGAGTCGTCGTCGTCGCACCCATTCGAGCTCAAGTTCGTCTGCTGGCAACTGACCGCTGCTACGCTCTGGGCCACGGCTGTTTCGCCCGATCTCTGAAAGGGGGACTCACGTTTCCGAGCCAGCCCAAGACGCGCAAGATTACTTCTGAGCGGGGGCGGAAACGGTGGCCTGGCGCCCAGCCCCTGGCTGGCACGCCCCACGCGGGGCGGGCATTCTTTTCAGTGGGCTAGGCAGGTCTACCGTCGACCACAGCAGAGTGGGCGCACACGCAACTCCCACCCTACGGCAGTACAACGGCAGTCCCCCTTGCCCGTCTCTACCGAAAGCGCAACTGTCCATTAGCCTAGCTTCACCTGGCGCACGAGCTTACCCCTGGGAGCACGGCCTGCTTTGTTGTTAAAGCCTGCGGCGCGGAAGATTCGATACAGAGCCTGCTCTACTGCGATCACTTTCCCGTGTCCGAGCTGGGCGAACTCGAGCGGACTCCGAATGACTCGAACCTCTGCCCTGCGCTTGTCTCCCTCTTCCGCGCCCTTGTCCTCTAGAACCTTCCACTGACTCTCCTGCTCCTCGTAAGCGTTGGGCCCTGCCTGGCTGGGGTCTGGCAGCGTGATATAGCCCAGGACCTTGACCGTAATCCTCGAGATGCTGCTGTCTGCCGTCGAGCTGGTTCCGCACTCCTTGATCCACGTGCTGGCCTGCTCCTGATCTCCATTCATCATCATCAACAGAAGCCTCCGAGGGATGTCTACCAACTCCTTCACCGAGTCCTGGGCCTTGCCTGGCTTGTCGAGCCAACTGTTGAAAGCGCTGAGAAGTGCGGCAAAATTCTGCAATTCGGGCGGACCGAGCCCGTGTGTATTGTTCTTGCCCTCGACCTTCTTCTGGTACTCCTGGTAGGTCTGCTTCAGCGTGTCCACGAACAGGTCGTCGCTCGGCCCGTGCACCACCAGGCCCGCTCCGAACTCCAGCGCGCGCACCCGCGATTCCAGCTGTCGAAGCAGGCGAGCGTTCACGTGGGAGTCCTCGACGCCCTTGCCCGAGCCCGTGCGCGCCTTGTTGCTGTCTCCCTCTGCGTTGGCCTCCGTTGCGACCCGCTTGAGAGCGCTCGGCATGAGCCACTGGACCTCCATGGAGCAACTCGAGATCTTCCAACAAGCCAGGCAGCTCGAAATCCAAACAATGATCCGCCAGGTGCTCCTGCAGATGCTCGGACAAAATGTGTCTACGGAGCTCATCATTGTCGGCCCCTTCGAAGTCATCGCAGGCTGGGCAAGCGTAGGACGAGGGCTGAATGATCTGTCCGTCTGTGCGCCCTCGGTCTACACAGCATAGGCCAGTGCTGAGGCCCTTGTGCATGTGTCTTTTTGCATAGTCAATCGAAGAGAAATTCGAGCCACAGATCACGCACTGACTGGATACACAGCAGAGTCTCCCAAGAAGTTGCTTTCCGTGAGTGCCTCCCTTGGTTCTCAGATAGTGGGCCGCCGACTGCTTTTTTGTCATGAAGCGTTCAGTGCAGGGCTCTCCATCGGCTCGAAGGGCCTTGCATTGGTGGGGTCCTCCACTCTCGATCTCCTCCTGCCTCCTCTCGTGCTGTGCGATGTTGAGGAAATAGTGCGACACGACCCCTTCCCACATCCAATTGAACGAACTCCTCCGTCCCCTCGAATAATATCCCCTCCAACCCATAGATCTCCATCAACCTCGCCCCGTCATCGAAGAGTTCGATCGCTCGTATGTCGTCGCAGAACTGTTCGCACCACGGGTTCGCCTTCGCGTCGTTGCTCAGATACTTTTCGAGCTCGGTCAAACCCTCGCCCCGAGAGCACCCGAAAACGACCGCAAGAAATTGAGCACACCGTGGGGCCTCACGTAGACAAGCTTGGAGCCATCGGAGCCTTCGAACTCTCATTTCCACATGTGGGGCTGCGAGGCGCACTTTTGCAAGGGCCTGTAGGTTGGTGAGGGTGCGAACGGAGCCGTCCTCCTGCCACCGAGCTGTACCTCGCAGCAGGATCCGAGCACGCATAGCAAGAAAGCGAAGAATGGGGTTGCCAATCGTGCGGACGCATGGGGCCCGCTCGAGCACACAGGACCTCCGCTCCACTGTAACACGCATTGGCCACGTACCCTTTGAGCATGTTGATCTTCCAACCAAGAGACACTGCACTCTGCCAAAACTTAGAGAGATTATACCAGGCAGTGCGCCCAGCATGTAGTCTGTACTCTATCTCACACAATGCAAACCTCGAATGAATGCGCGGGCCCAAATATCGTGCACACACTGTCGTACGCCCAGCAAGCTCCTGATCTCTGAGAAACTTAGCTTCCATGAAAGCTGCATTGGCGCCTGTGAAAAAAAAAAAAAAAAAAAAAAATCTCCTGCTTGCTCACATTCTGAATCATCTGGATCTCGGCGAGCCTCTCAGTGATGACTTCGTTTTGAGAGACTCCCTCCGCCATGATACTAGCTGCGTTGTTGGTGACATCGAAATTGTCGGCTACGTCGTCCACATACACAGTGAAAGAAGCTTGAATCCACTGAGCCGACCATGGGCACTTGAAACTGGCAGCTCGGTAGTTAGAAATACTATTCGAACCCATTCCCATTTGTCTAGCATAAGCACCCACAAAAAGTCTGACCATGGCGGGATCTCCTGGCATGCATCCCTGCTGCAACCAAAGAATGTCGTTCTCAGCACCAGGTAGTCGAAAGCATGCAAGAGTGACTCCCCGAAGGTGATTCGGTCGAAACAGCTTCCTGTTGAACCAGACACTGAGCCCGCAAGATCTGTTCGTTAAAGCTCCTGAGCTCCAGCCCTCCGAGAAACCCCAGAACGACGAACAATACCTGAGGTCCTTGGAATTCTGCTGCTTCTCCTGCGTTCCTATCAGCGATACCACGGACACGTTGTGGAGTTCATCCAGGATGTCCTGAGTGCGGGAGTGGGTGGCGCTGTGGGGGTTGTAGGCGACGAAACTGACCTGCCCGAGACGCGCCGCTGAGTCCGCCGCCATGGCGAGCAGACTGAGGGTTCCGCACACATGTCCTGAATTCTGAAGTGGCCAGCAGTCTTCTGAGACCTCGGATTGCCACTTAGGAGGGAGGAGGACGAAGAGGAGCAGGAGAGAGGAGGAGGGAGGATGAGGAGGAGGGACAAAAAGAAGGGGGAGGAGGCAGGAGGAGGAGAAGGACAAGGAGGAGGAGGAGGAGGAGGAGGAGGAGGAGGAGGAGGAGGGACCAGGAGGGAGAAAGGAGGCAGGAGGAGGAGGAGGAGGACCAGGAGGGAGAAGGAGGCAGGAGGAGGGGGAGGACCAGGAGGAGGAGGAGGCAGGAGGAGGAGGAGGCAGGAGGAGGATGGATGAGGAGGACGAGGAGGGAGGAAGACGAGGCAGCAGGAGGAGGCAGCAGCCAGGAGGAAGAGGATGACCCCCCAAGGGCGGGAGCGCTGGAGACACCCGCTGCGCCCTCCGCAGGGCCCCATTGAGAGCCACCGCCATGGGTCGGAGTTCGGCCGGCGCGGCGCCCTGCCTGGCCTCGCCCGCGCGTACTGGTGCTGCGCGGCGGGGTCGCGGCGGGGAGGAGCGCGAGGAGGAGGACGAGGAGGAGGAGAGGAGGAGACAGGAGGAGGAGGAGGAAGAGACAGGAGGAGGAGGAGGAGGAGGAGGAGGAGGAGGAGGCAGGAGGAGGAGAAGGAGGAAGAGGAAGAGTAAGAGGAGGAGGAGGACCGACGGACACCTGGGGGCATCTAGTCGCTGCGAGCTGGCACAGGATTGCCCCAGGACCGACCTGACGGCCGCGACTTCTGGGCCTCCTGCCCGCCCACAGCCCACGGAGCTTCAAAGCCCCAGGCTTCGAGAGGAGAGGAGGAGGAAGAAGAAGAGGAGGAGGATTGGGCGCTCACAAAGGGCAGGAAGAGGAAAGCCTCGGTACCTCTCCCCCTTGGGGGACTCTTGCTTCGTTTGCTTTCTTCCGGCATCCTGGTTCGATCACTCGCACCTCCAGAGGCGGTCGCCCATGGGGGGGGGGGATGGCGGCGTCCGACAAGGGAGGGCGATGCTGACAGTCAGTGACAGTGCCAGTTGGAGGAGGCTCGTCACCATCCGATCATAGCCCACGCAGCGTCACAGGGAGAAGGAGGTGGCGGAGGAGGTGGAGAGGAGGGAGGAAGGAAATATGAAGCGATGTAGGGAGGACGGGGGAGGGAGGACGCGGAGGAGGAGGAAGAGGAGGAGGAAGAGGAGGAGGAGGAAGAGGAGGAGGAGGAGGAGGAAGAGGAGGGGAGGGAGAGAGGGAGGGAAGGAGGGAGGGAGAAGGGAGGAGGGAGGGAAAGAGAGTGCGGAGGCGGAGGGGGCGCGAAGAGGCTCTCGTCCTCTTCATCGTAAGCCTCAGACGTGAGGTAAGCGCGAGGCCAACGCTGGCCACGCGGAATAAGACCTCGTCAATCGGGAGAAGGGAGGTGGCAGTTAACCTCAACACCCCACACCCTTCTCATCGGGGTGCTTCCCCCCATGAGACAAGTCCCCCAATTCCCCCTCCCAGCGATGGCCCGAGGCTTGCACGCACAACCCAAGCCTTTGACATGGGCCCCCCGAGCTGTCACATGTACAGCTCCGGCGAGCGACATAATTGAGTTATAAACACAGTAGAGAGCAAGTACATGGTGGCCAAACCTCTTGGAGAATCAGCAAGTCCCAACAGGACCAACCGGCACAGCCAGAGAAGGTGGGACAATCGTCTGCAAGAGATCCTCTCAAGCAAACTCTGCATCTCCAAACACCAGTCATCTGTTCCCACTGGTGCTTGGGGTGGGAAGCAGCAGCACTGGCAAGAGGCTCAGGAGGAGGAGGAGGATGGAAAACTGTGACTCTCTCTGTGCCTCGAAACTCGGGCTGTGGGAAGAGCGGAAGGAACTGGGCCCCCGCCAACAAGACCGCACGAGCAACCTTGACACGCCAATCGAGCAAATCAGCCTCCTGAGACGGCTATTCTGAGTGGAAGCCTGCTTCTTCTGTGGCCGCGAGGTCTGCGTAGAAATTCCAAAGACGACGGAATCACTCCTCCGAACTAATGGCAACATCGTTAGAGTCTTGACGGGCATCGACCTTCAGCAAAGATCTGCAAAGACCACACAAATGGCACCGAGCCTGCAAGACCTGCCCTGAGTACTGCCGATTGGCGCTCAGGACCTGCCATATTCTGATGCAAAACAGCATTGGCACATTCAGAATAATGATACCAGAGAGCAGCCCAATCATAATATTTGTAGTGCCATAGGGCTAAGGGGCTGTAGGACTATAGGGGTTATAAGGCTATGCGGCTATAGGACTATAGGGCTATAGGGCTATATAACTATAAAGCTATAGGGCTATAGGGCTGTAAGGCTATGGGGCTATACGGCTATACGGCTATAGGACTAGAGGGCTATAGGGCTATTGGGCAATAGGGCTATAGAGTTAATAGGACTATAGGGCTGTGGGGCCATAGGGCTACGAGGTTATAAGGCTATAGGGCTACTTGGCTGCAGGGCTATAGAGCTATTAGGGCTATAGGGCTATAGGGCTATAGAGTTATAGAGCTATAGGGCTATAGGGCTATAGGGCTATAAGGCTATAAGGCTATAAGGCTATAGGCTATAGGGCTATAGGGCTACGGGGCACCCGGGCACAAATCGGCGGCGCACCTCACCCGGGCACCCGGGCACCTGGGCACCCGGGCGTGCCGCCGAAATCGGCGTCATACCTCACCTAACCATATGAATCCGCTAGGCCCCCTTCAGAGGCAAGCTCTGATTGGGGAACCATGGTCGGGGGGCTCAGTGCCCAGACAGAACAGTTCAAGCAAGAGAACCAAAGTCGGAGACCTGAGGAGTCTGATGCCAGAGAGCCCCGAGAGTCCCGTTAAGGGTTCCCCGCCCTCCTAGACCATGCACACAGCCCACCCGCCCTGCTCAATTCCCTGATGGGGCCCGTAGCACAGGAACCGTCCAAAAATATGTATGCATCGCACGCGTGCTTGGCCAAAGAGGCCCCCGACAAGCCCACAAGACGGCCCAATGGGGCCCCAAGACAGCCCAAGGGGCCCCAAAGACGGCCCCGAAATAGCCCCAAGGACCTCCACGACAAGAGGCCAAGATGACGGCACCAAGACGGCCCCAGAGACCTCCAAGACAGCCATAAAGCGCCCAAAGAGGGACCCACGACTGCCCAGGGAGGGCCCAACACGGCCTCTGAAGTCCAAGAGGCCCCTTAGACGCCCCCAAAAGGGCTCCAAGAGGACCTCCAGGATGCCAAACTCTGTAATGTTCCTTAGGTTGTTCGCACTTTTACCAAGACATGAAGCAAGGTCAACAAACCCGCGAAATTCTAGCATACAAGTGAGCGGAGGAGAAGGAACTACATTGTTTTCCTTTAGTCATGGCGACTGGTCATTGCGTTTAGCGTTCTCGCCTTTTCGGACTTCCGACGCTCCAAGATGGCACATAAAACCCTAAGATCGCCCCAAGATGGCCCCTAGAGGCCCTCAAGAGGCACGCAAGACGGCCCCAAAAGGGCCCTAGGATAGCCCGAGAGGCTCCTAAGACAGCACCAAGACGGCCCCAGAGACCTACAAGACGGCCCTAAGGCGGGACCCAAGACGGCTTCCGAAGGCCAAAAGGTCTCATAGAGGCCCCCGGAGGCCCCTAAGAGGTCTTCAAGAAGCCCCAGGAGAAACCCCCAGATGCCCGTGGAGGCCCCCAAGAGGCTCTGGAAGAGCCCCCCCAGAAGGTATCAAGGAAGCCCACAGGAGGCCTCCAGAGGGCCTCAAGAGGCCTCCTCTTCTTCCTTCTTCTCCTTCTCCTCCCTCTCCTCCTCCTTTCTCTTCCTCCCCCCTGTGTTACCCCAAGGGGGTCTACAACGGATGGGGCAACACATAACCCAATAGCTTGACCAGGCTTCGGCCCCACGTCTGGCCGCATTGGCGTCTCCAAAATGCAGTGGGCGAAGGTGATTAGCCGCAGGCGTCTTAGATAACTTGCTGGGCTCACGCTAGCACGCTGGCTAACACGTCTTGTAGAGACCAATGAGAAGGGAACTTCGACAGAGGGTCGATTGCAGCATCGTTGATACGTCTTGGATTTACAACGGCCCTCCTCCTTCATCTCCTGTATTTCTAAATGACTTCTCCCTGTCGCGAACCGAGGCAAGCCGGCAGGGCGGGCCGGGCGTTTCGCCTGAGACTTTGTCACGACTGTTGATCCTGAAGCTTAGAATTTGCAAGATATTCACGGACAGAGGTCGGGCCGTTTTCAACATGTGCAGTTTGCAAGAATCTACCGAATGGAGGGCGGGCCGCTTTCAAAATGTGGCTCTCACGCACATTCGTCTGACAAGTCTGCAGGAGTTTCACGGATGGAAGGCGGGGGTTCCAAAATGTGTCTCTCGCCTCAGCGCCGCATACACTCGTTTGAATAGTTTGCAAGAGCTTCACAGATGGAGGGCGGGTCGCTTTCAAAATGTGCCTCTCGCCTTAGCGCCGCGCACATTCGTTCTGTACCTGCAGAGGTCTCACGGATGAAGGCGGGTTTCAAAATGTGGCTCTCGCCTCAGCGCCGTGCATATTCGTCCTAAAAAGCTTGCAAGTCTCACGGATGGAAGGCGGCACCTTTTCAAAATGTGGCTCTTGCTTTAGCGCCGCGCAGAATCGTATTCAGAATTTACAACAGCTCTGAGCATAGTCATATGGCTGATGTTGCAGACATGGTGTTTGGCACGATGTAGGATTGTCATGGCGAGACGGTTAATTTGATTCGTGGTGTTGACGTCCCAAGAAATGCGTTCTGGCACGATTCAAGGCTGTCAGGACGCAACAGAAACTTGATTCGGAGCGTTGAAGTCACAATAACGGTCTTCTGGCACGGTTCAGAATTTTCAGACGGTCGTCTTCGAACAGGGTACCTCCCTCAGTGACACTGAATCCTTGTAGGGACCGAGGAACAGGGAACTCGGAGGGAGGATTCATTGCAACATCGTTGGTGAATCTTGGCTTTGCACTGGTCCTCCTCCTCCTCCTCCTCCTCCTCCTCCTCCTCCTCCTCCTCCTCCTCCTCCCTCGAGGCAACGAGGGAGCTCGAGTGCATCACCTGCCCGAAGGAGCCCTGTTTGGCTGCTCCTGCGCCGCCGGTGCGCCCCGCGCGCGGCGCCGCGGCCGCGCCGGGGCGGGCGGCCGTGGCAGGCGGACCCGCTCCCCGGTCAGCTGCTCGGCCTGCTCCCAGAGCCTGGACCACACCTCCTCGGGCTGCGCGGATGAGCGGCCCACACTTCTATCGGCGGTGGACAAACCTCCCTTTAGTAGACCTCCCCTTAGTGAAAACGGCCTGGGACCGAAACCGACGGACCTGGACCCGCAAAAATGAGGGCCGCGACGCCCTCTCGCGAACCGAAACGGCCAATTCCTTAATCGACGTGTCAGGGCAGGAGGTCTGTCCACCCCCGATTCTACCCATCGGAGAAGCCCAGCGGCAGAGAGCAGCGGTCGAGGAGGGGAGGGGGGGGGGGGGGGGGGGGGGGCGGGACGGCACGGCACGCGGCCGACGCACGGGCCGCCCGAATCACGAAGCAGTCCGGCGGCCCCGGGCGCTGCACCTGGCGCTCGCGCAGCGCTGCGCGCCAGGATGAGCGACCTGCACAAACCCCCCTCCCCCCCCCAGCAAACAAAAAACAAAAGAAACAGGACTGCCCGTGCATGCTGGGCATGGCCCGGCAACTCTCTGCCGCTGCGTCGCTCGCAGAGCGGGGGGCAAGAAGGGGGGAGTGGCATGCAACTTCCTCGACAAGAACCTTGCCCCGAACTGTGACCGCAGCGATCGCCGCGGCGCCCTCCCAAGCCAGCCCGAGCTTTGGCTTTAGAGGATCAAGAACGGCCATAAACATACGCTTTCGGAGCTCCGCGCGGATTTACCTGATCGGCACTGGACCCACTCCCTGGCGCACGGAGCGCGACAGGGGCGGCGCCAAAGGCGCCGCCAGGGGGGCCCCAGCGCCGATCCGAGAAATCCGCGTGGAGGTTTATGCATTTTTGCCTTCCTCGAGGTTCCAGTTTCGAGTAGGGGATCGACTGCAGAACTGATTCAATCCCAACTTGAAATCCCCGCTGCCTCTGCAGAAATACATAGAAGAATTGTAGATATACGGCGCACGTTTCGCAAGTGTCCGTGGGTTCGACGGAAATTTCAACGTTGTGAGTAAATCAATTCTGGGTCCGGACATTCCGATACAGCTGCTCCCCCGACCTCTCCCGGGGTGCGTGCTGACCAGAATTTCGGGGCGAATCCGGAGGTGGCGACGAGGCCTCCTAAGAGGCCCCAAAAAGGCGAAAGCGAGGGAGGGGTAGCGGTAGGGGTACCTCGGCGGTGGACAAACCTCCCTTTAGTAAACCACCCTCTAGTGAAAACGGCCTAGGACCGAAACCGACGAACCTGGACCCGCAGAAATGACGGCCGCGACGCCCTCTCGCGAATCGAAAACGGCCAATTCTCTAATCGACGTGTCAGGGTAGGAGGTCTGTCTACCTCCGAGTGCCTTTTCCTCCTCCGAGGCATCACGCAGCGGTCCTCGTCGTGGGAGGTGCCCCAGCTCGACATTGGGCGGAAAAGGGGGGGGGAGGAGGGGGGTTGGCGCCAGACCTCTTCTCAATGCGGCTGTTTGCAGCAGTGCGTCCTCTGGGGGAGAGGCTCCACCTGCTCGAAACAGACGCCAAAAACAGCCACGATCTACTCCCTAGGGGGGTGGGAGGGGGGGGGGAGGGGGCCCGCGCCGATCGGCAACGCAACGAAGAAAACATGATCGACCCACGAACCCGGAAAGGAATGTAGAACTGTAACACATGGCAGCGTTTTCAAAGACACCTGATTGGGTGACGGGCAAATGCAATACTGAAGGTATCGATCTTGATGTACCCTGCCGAGGGCTGTGCTGTGCTGCGCCGTGCTGAATTGCGATGTGCCATGGCGCGACTGTGCTCTATAGCCTCGTGGATCGAGTCCTCCTTTGCATCCGAGTCCTGACCGAACTGATCTGGATCTTAAGCTCGAGCTGCCTGAACACATAGTAGCTGCCCCAGAGCTAATGGACAGGGGAACATGCCAGGAGGACGCGCCGCGAAACGTCCCAAGGGATGCGCCAGGCGACGTGCCAGGGGACGTGCCATGGGGTCGCACCGCGGGACGTGCCAAGGGGACGCGCTACGGAACGTGCCAATGGATGTGCCACGGGATGTGCCAGGGGACGCGCGACGCGACGTGCCAGGGGGACTCGCCAAAGGACGCCCCACGGAACGTGCCAAGGAACGTGCCAAGTTGCAATGCTGAGTGCATCGACCTTGATGTACCGTGCCGAAATCAGTGCTGTGCTGCGCCGTGCTGAATTGCGATGTGCCATGGCGCGATTGTGCTCTATAGCCTCGTGGATCGAGTCCTCCTTTGCATCCGAGTCCTGACCGAACTGATCTGGATCTTAAGCTCGAGCTGCCTGAACACATAGTAGCTGCCCCAGAGCTAATGGACAGGGGAACATGCCAGGAGGACGCGACGCAGAACGTCTCAAGGGACGCGCCAAGCGACGTGCCAAGGGACGTGCCATGGGGACGCATCGCGGGACCTGCCAAGGGGACGCGCTACGGAACGTGCTGGGGACAAGCGTTTCGCTCGAGACATCCTGTCAAAATCATCTGAATTCCTACGCGCGGGACGCTGCACGCGCGAGACATCCTCGGAATTCCTGCGAGCGGGACGTGAAAACAAGCATTTCGCCTGAGACATCCTTTGAATTCTGGCCCCCCACGAGGCCACCGCTCGAGACATCCTCCAATTTTGCAAAACCAGCGTTTCGCTCGAGACATCCTCAACAAATTATGAAAAACAAGCGTTTCGCTCGAGACATCCTGTCAAAATCCCAAGAAATCCAAATACCCGCGCGCGGGACGCGGCACGCGCGAGACATCCTTGGAATTCCTGCGCGAGGGGCGCTTTTCCGTGTCGCGGTCGGCTCTGCAAAACCAGCGTGTCGCTCGAGACATCCTCAACAAATTCTGAAACCAAGCGTTTCGCTCGAGACATCCCCAACTCTGCAAAACCAGCGTCTCGCTCGAGACATCCTCAACAAATTCTGAACAACAAGCGTTTCGCTCGAGACATCCTCAAAAATAATTTCGCCGGCCCTGCTCCGTGCGTGCCCGCTCGCAAAATAATTTCGCCGGTCCAAGTCGCAGGGGGGCCGGGGGGTTAACCTACTAAAAGAGAACCCTGGGCCCGCGCCCTTTCCGGGAAAAACGATCACCATCACGCAGCGGTCCTCGTCGTGGGAAGTGCCCCAGCTCCAGGGGAGCGGGTACTTGCTCGGTGCCAGCGCCCCCCCCTCGAAGTAGCCCTTGACGCGCGCGGTGGAGGCCCCGCGTCTGCCGAGCGCCACGCGGGCGACGCCCACGGCGGCATCCCGGGGGGACTCCACCAGCCTGGTGAAGTACCTGTCGGCGACCCCGAAGGGTGTGGTTTCCGAGCATTTTCTCAGGGTGGAGGGCTCAGGGCGAAATCCATATGTGCCCCTGCGTCTCGCAAATCCACCCGTCTTGTGCTTCACCCTCTGCAGATTCAGGCTTCGAAGATCCATCGAAACAGCACTTCAGATTTCACCTCTTGCCCTCCACCCAAAGAAAATGCTCGGGGCTTGGGACGCGCAAGGACATGCTAATACTACGCGTCCTCGTCGGAGGCGTGCGTCCGACACGAGCATGTAGAACATCTTGTACGATGTGGTTTCCCGAGCGGTACGGCGGGAAAGCGCCCGCCACGGGGCATATACTAGGAGATTTCTCGGCGAGCGCGCGTCGCCCCGGGCCACGAGGGGGGGCGATGCACAATTAGAGTTCGCATGTTGGGGTGACGCCGAGGGTTTGTGAAGGGAGTGGTTGGCAACCCGCGCCTGGGGGGCAGAGATCTCTGCCGCGCCCCGACGGGGTGACGCAGCGCGGTGGCTCCCTAGGCCCCGACGGCGCCGATCGCACACAACACCCCGGCGTAACCAAACCCACCGTCGCCGCCGCACCTGAGCAGGCCCTTCTGCCAGTCCGGCATGTTCGGCGCCGCCAGCATGCGGTTCTCCTCGCTGCGGTAAAGCGGCCAAGCGGTGCTCATCGGACCTGGGTCCACGCAGCTCACGGCAACGCGGGCGATGCCCTGCATCCGCAGCCTGGGGAGCCAACAGAGACACCGACACCGCTGCCACCCCGGGCCTATCCCAGGGCGCACGCTGACCAAAGTTCCGTGGCAGACCGAGCCGTGGCGACGAGAGCTTCCCCGGGAGGCCCAAAAGGGCGAAAACAAGGAAAAACATTAGCACTGCATACGTCCCCAGACCCCCGACGTCATGATTTGTCCCAACCATGCTGTGGCTGTGGTGTCGGGTCCTCGTTTTGAAAAAGATAGCGACCCGCGTTCCTCTCCTCCTCTCCTCCTCCTCCCCCCTCCTCCTCCCCCTCCTCCCTCCTCCCATCCCAGATCTCATCCCTGTCTTTACCCTCCGCATGTCTCTGTTTCGGCACACCCCTGACACGCACGCTTCGAGGTCCCATAGGGAGCTCCACCGAGGGCCTCAGTGGCAGCGCCCGCATGCGGTTCCACTCCCACTCCGGTGCTCGGCTCACACGTTTCGTGGCCCGTAGGCAGCTCCACCGAAGGCCCCGGTGGCAGCGCCCGCGTGCAGTTCCACCTCAATTTCGGTGCATCCCTGACACGTTCCATGGCCTCATAGGGAGCTCCACCGAAGGCCCCAGTGGCAGCGCCCGCATGCGGTTCCTCCCCCATTTCGGTGCATCCCTCACACGCTCCGTGGCCCCATAGGGAGCTCCACCGAAGGCCCCAGTGGCCCCATAGAGCGCTCCACCGAAGGCCTCAGTGGCACCTGTTGCATCCTCTCCTTCATTCCATTTTCCTCGCGATGCTCGAAGGCCCCAGTGGCAGCGCCTGAATAGCGGCCCCGCCTCATTTCGGCACACCCTTCGCGTGCTTCGTGGCCCTATAAGGAGATCCACCGAAGGCGGTACTCACAATGATGGCACTCACAGCTGCATATGGTTGGGTCCTTCGACAGGCTAGTTTTCATTTCGTCGACCCCCAGAATTCTCGACCCCATTCCCCCGGACTGGCGCTTGTCCTCCTGAGCCGTTTTGCTGACGATCTGGAAGTCCGGCAAGGGCTCCCGAAGGCGGAAAGAGGGAGTAGCCTCCCGTCGTGCTTTTTTTCATGACTCGAGGGGGTCTGGGTCCTCGGACTAGATAGGAGAACAAACTGCATGCACATTGACTTTTGACGGTCCGCGCGGACTTCTTTGACCTGAGCTGGACCCCCTCCGGAGCGCCGCCAAGGGGGGTCCAGCGCAGATCCAAGACATTTGCGAGGACTTCCAAAAGCTTTACGTGTATGCCGTGTTTGGTTCTTCGACTGACAGCCTCCTCTGCAGCTCGTAGGCCAGCATCACGTTGCACAGCGCCGCCTGCCCGAAGGCCTCCCAGCGCCCGTACGCCCCGGGCCGACGCAGCTGCAGGTCATCCAGCTGCCCGAGCGCCAGCGGGAGGGGCGCGCCGAGGCCCGCGAAGCCGAGCACCACCCTGCCCCAGTGCCGCGAGCTGCCAACGAGCACCACCTCGGGTCGAAGAAGAACCCCTCGATCCTCCTCGATCCTCCTCGAACCTCCTCGATCCTTCTCCTCCTCCTCCTCCTCCTCCTCCTCCTCCTCCTCCTCCTCCTCCTCCTCCTCCTCCTCCTCCTCCTCCTCCTCCTCCTCTGGGGGGGAGCCGCAGCGGGGGCTTGCCGTCCGGCAGCGGGGCAAGGCCAAACGGCGACGGCGGAGGCGGCGACGGCGGCGGCAACGGCAACGACGGCGACGCAGCGCGGGGGGTGCCAGAGGTCTCCCTGAGCCTGGCCCAAAGGTGTCCCCAATTGGCTGCGCCGTCGCGCCGGCTTCGGAACCCCTGGGGCCCTCGCGGCCTCGCCGAGGGGTGCTCTGCAGGCCACGTGGGCCTCCCTGGACATCCTCGTGGGGGGACCTCCCTGGGCCGGGGTCCCCTCTGGCAGCGCCCGGGCGACTCCCTGAGGGGGGCCAGACCCCCAGGCCTCACGGCGTCCCCTGGGGCCGGCTGGAGGAGAAGGAGGAGGAGGGGGAGCATGAGGAGGAGGATGAGGATGAGGATGAAAATGGTGATGGTGGTGATGCAGATGCTGATGCTGATGCTGATGCTTATGCTGATGCTGATGATGATGATGATGATGACGATGATGATGATGATGATGATGATGATGATGATGGTGATGATGATGACGAAGAGGAGAGAAAGGACGGGGAGGAAGGAGGAGACCCGGGTGCTGCAAGATGTGGGACCCGCGGGGCCCGAGGGACACCGTGGGACAGGAAAAGGGGGAGGAGGGGGAGGAGGAGGAGGAGGAGGAGGAGGAGGAGGAGGAGGAGGACGAGGAGGAGGAGGACGAGGATCGATGGTGAGGGGGCGGTGTAATGATGATAAGCATAACAATCATGATAATAATGATGGTAACGGTGGTAACGATAATGAAACAATAGCAATAATAATATATACATACCTAACAATAATACTAATACTAATAAGAAGAAAATGTTTTTTTTTTTTGAAAAAATATAATAATAACGCGAACACGGATGATAATAAGACTGCAAATAATTCAAAATTTTCATAAGGATCCTAACGATAAGCGGCGTGGAGGCGCGCAGTGCGCTCAGAACGCGCGTGCATGCGCGCGGCGAAGAAGGCCAGTGTAGGCCAGCTACGGACTTGGAACGTACCCACTGAAGCGTGCCAAATATGGAGTGCGCCCTGCAAGCAAGCGCGTTGAATTCAACACTGCTGCCAGCCGGAGCTGGATATAAACCCGCGCGCGGAGAGCGGGGACCTAGGCAGACCCTAACAAACTCATCATAGGCTCTGAGGGCAACCGCACCGACATGTGAGATGCGGCCCACGTGTGACACCTTAGGTACCATACGCTGAAACGTTCTGAACAAGCTAAGTTCTCGCGTGTACGGGTGGGCGAAAGCGGCCCGGGTACAACAATTTGGGTCACGACCCAGGCTCGCGGGACCCTTTGGCTGTGGCAGCAAAGGCAACCTCAATCCTCGAAAACGCGGTCGATGGGAGCCGTAGTACTCATTGACAGTCAAGACGTACGGGAGGCCGTAGCAGCACAGGTTGTCGGGCGTCTCGAACTTAACCATGACGCCGAAGTCGGCATCGCGTCTCTCAACGCAAGTTCCACCCCACGCCAGAGACCTGGCACAACTGAAACCCACTGATCAGACACCAGCGGAGACCCAGTTATGAATTCAATGTACCAGCAACCACAGATAAGGATTTCGGCGAGCGGCAAACCCCTGCAACGACCCCTGCTACTCAGCGCACCGAGAGCCAGCAAGCTGCAACCCAAAGCCGCGGACGGAGAACGCCACAGGTGGCGACGCTGAACGTGCAGCGAAGGATTCCTACATCGGTGTTCATGCGTCAAGCAAAACATTCTGGAACATGTCCCACATTGCCCCTGGCGGGGCGGCTCCGATTGCTCGCTTGGCCCCAACCTCTCCCAGCGCATGGTTGGCGACCGCCCTCAAATGCGCGCTGGGAGAAATCGAAGGCTCGTCGGACTCCTGAGCGAAATGCGCGCGGCCCGTCTCCATCGGCGCCAGATGCGCGTTTCTTCTGATCTTGGTTGAAGCACTTCGCGATGCGACAAAGTCGAACCACCTCCCGCGCGTCCTGGATGCTCTGCGCGCAGAGGAACTTCTCGCACCAGTTCTGCAGAGTTTCGTAAGTCTGAGCGCCAAGAGCGTTCGAAAGCCCCAAGCGACCCGCTTGCTTGGCTTCCTCGCTGCACGTTTCGCACGACGCCCGTTCCCCCCGCCACTTCGGGCGGCGACGCGCCCGCGAACCAGGCGTCGATCTCCGGCGACCGCAGGTCGCGCATCGCCTTGCTGCAAACGAGGGTTAATTTGATGAGCGCGCCGATGATGGCCCCCTGCTTCTGGCCCCAGCCCGACCCCGCGAGCGCGCCGAGAGACTTGGCCCGATCCCTGCGTTGCTTCTTGCTTCTCCCGGTGGAGGCTGCCGCCCCCGATGAAATGGCTGGCGGGGCGCCCCCGCACTCGGCCTCTTTGGAGCGGGGGCCCGCCGGCAGCAGCCGAGTCCTCCAGCGTGCTTGGGGTCGTTTCGCTCGAGTGCCCCCGCGGGCTCCATCGGCGCAAGAGCCGCGGGGCGCAGGTGGCGGCGGCGGGTGATCGCCGCGGATGTGCGCCTGTAGCTGAGCCAAATCTGACCGACGGCCGACGCGACAAATGGGGCGCACAGGCGGGGCAGTCACGACAGGGTAAACGGCGTGGGCAGCGCCGACATTGCACGCGCCCATGCGATCGGCGGCTCTCATGCTGCTCCTCGCACTGCGTCAGAAAGCGAGACGATGCGCGCAGTTGGGTCGCTGATGTGTGATCACCCACTTCAACGGCTTCGATGTTTTGCCGCGCGCGCCGCTGCTCGTGAACGCGTCGCGCGTAGCGGGGCCCTCGCGCGCGGCGAGCGCCGCCCCGCGCGCGCGCCCTTCATCCGCGAACTGTCGGCAACGAAATCGAAGCTCAGCAGTGCCCCGCCCCCCCCCCCCCCATCCACATCAGGAAATTCACCCATATCAATACATGGACGCGCGCGACCCAACTTCCAGAGCTTCCGAAGCGCACTCGCATCAGCGTTCCGAGACGCGCGGCGAACATCCTCATCCTCGAACGGCGCGGCAACCGACTGCCCCGACCTCCCCGGACTCGCATGGTTCGCGGGCACGCCGCCAGCCATCGTCTCGCAGCCCTCGAATGCAAGCCGTGCACATAAAACGGCCATTACTTGAGTGTGATCCTCAAACCACCAAACCAAACTTGGATACCATAGCAATCGCTGGGTAACAGATTCGCACCGAGTCAGAATTATATCGATCCAGAGCAACGTGCGCCGAGTCGACCAGGATCTCGGATGGGGGCCAGTCCAGTCGCAAGCATCGCCCTGCGCAGTTGGCCGAATCTTACGAAGTCGCAAGACGTCTGGTCCACACTCGCGAGCACGCGCGAGCAGGAAGGGAACGAGGCCAGAACAGAGGGCCCCCTGGACAACACTTAAGAACAGCACTCGCTTGACCTTCCAAGGGAGCACAATTAGACACGAACTCTTCGTAGGCACACACTACCCACGAGCACAAGCATTTTGCTTCGCCAGAAAATGCAGACCAAGCGCGCCAGCAGGCACGTAGAACGGGCCGGGGTAGCGCGCGCGGGGGGGGGGGGACTCGAGCGCCTCCGACTTCAACATCATAGAAACGACGGTTGCGGCGCTAACTTTTTCAAGATTGGAACCCGGGCCTGCTTCTTGAAAGTCTGCCTGTAGCCGCGCTGCGCCCAAACCGACGCACTCAGAGACTGTTCGAGCCGAGTGGCCTCCAACGCCGCCTCCAGGCGGCCCGAAGATAACGCGCTAGAAAAAAGAGGCCGCCAACGCATTGGTCGAGGGTCGCGTCGGTCGGCCGGGGCACCAGAGGGCGCGACGCCATCAGGGGCTGCCGCGGCGACCGACGCCGCCAAACGCAGACCTGCTCGGCCAAGCCCACGCGGAACTCATCGGAAGCAGACGCCCCACCCATCAGCGCCCCGCTCCCCAAGTTTTGGTGTACATCAAATCCGATGGCTTCGATGTGCAATGCGCGCGTGCGTCGACTATCCTCCAGGCGCAAAACACCAGCGTAAGGTAGATATTCGCTCTGTACATCGTCCATGCGATCGTGGTCGCAACAGCCGTAAAAATGTGCCATATCGTCCAGCACCGCAACGAACGGCAGCGTTTCCTTCTTGAGTCCCAACGAAATGCATTGCACACATCGAGAAGCGTTCTCACGGCGACGATGAGGAACGCATCCATGACGAGCGCGGTCGGCGGTGCCAAACGAGATCGGGCGACAGACCCCGCGACAAACTGCACGATAGAACGGGCAAAGCCCCTGGAGAAAGCGCGTTCCACCATCAATCGTAGGAGGCTGCCGCACTTTGGAAAATCTCACACAACAAGGGAAGCGAGCAGAAAGCACCACGCACTAGCAAGCGCCGCGACCGTCTTTATGATTTTGGCGGTGTCGGGCCTCCCGACCTTGTAGCCAAAACCCTCTGGAAATGTACGTTTGCGGCTACAGTAGCGCGGGGAAGGCATAAGTGACCATAGTTCACCTGGTAGACCATCCTGGAACAGCTCGACGGCGCGAGGCGCGCTTCAGCGCAGCAACCGCACGACCAAGATCCTCCGCGCCACGGCCACAAGCAGCCTCACGACCATTCGTGCCCATGGGGGGCATAGTCGGGGATGGACAGACCCCCCGTTAGTAAAACGTGATTTAGTGAAAACGACCTCGGGCCCAAACCTGGCGGGCGCAAGCCTGGAAAATGACGGCCGCGGCGCCCTCTCGAGAACCGAAAACGGACAATTCACTAATCGACGTGTCAGGGTAGGAGGTCTGTCCACCCCCGACATAGCACCACGCTCAGCCACAAACCAAGGGGATAACACAGGAACTGCACCCGACCCACCTTGGCCTCCAGGCAACGACAACTGTGTGGAGTCCGCTCCGCCGCGCCTGGGGCGTTCCGTCGGACGGCACTGTAAGCTCGGCACTTTGAGGCCCCGGCGAGTACCAGCAAGCCTGCGAGATAAAGACTGAGCAGCCGCTGGGCATCGATACCGCCAAGCCTCATGCAGTTCATCGACGAAGGGGTCGGCGCCAACGTCGGACTTCTCCCATCAGGCGAGCACCAGGGCCGCGAATATGAGAAGCGTGATGCGCCGCAGGTGTACCAGCCGCTCGTAGTCTGCCGCGCAGATTGGCAAGGGCACGCACCTGGCCACGGACAAAAACAGTCTCAAGGTCATGACCGATCTGTTTTTCAGCTGTCGGGAATGTCATTTCACACATCGAGTTATATCCTTGTTTCACCATCGGAGCTTCAAATAATCCGTAGACATCATGGCGAGCAGCGTGTAGTGCACGATTAACATATTTCAAGAACATGTTCACGAAGTCCACGTGTTTAAACGGCCAAGGCACTCAAAGATTGGTCCCCGCGTGCACGTGCACGGGGTGAGATAAATGGGAGCACAATCTCAGCAGCCAAATCTGAACATGATACAGTATAGGGTGGAGTCGTGGTTGGAATCGTCGCCCAAGCCTGGCCATCGTGCAACACTTAATGATGCAAAAGCGAAGCCCGCAAGGTACAACATGGTGGTCGATATAGCTAGAGTGGCTGCCGTGGTAATACGTGGAAACAGTCTTGCATAACGTGTCGGGACAACCCATGCTGTGTCGATCTAGCAATTCACGAAAATCGCGTCCAGCGTACCGCATACGTGGTCGAGTGTGGTCGCCAATCGTATGTCCGTCATAGCCTTCTTCTGAAGCGAACGGGTCACTCAGGTCAATAAAGATCAAAGGTGCGCAAGGGCAGGGTAGTCCAGAAAGTCCGGTGTCGAGCCACTGCAAAAATATATATCAATCATTGCTTCTAGACGGTACAGCACGCCCGAACAGCAACAGGAGGAACACATACTGCAATCGACGTGATGTCAGTGTTTTCGTGATGATGCGGACCAGACCACCTCTGTACATCGTAACATCGGGCGGCGTCGACATGCGATCTATATATATATATATATATGTATATATATATATACATAGATAGGTTGCCCTGCACGTACCAACTCTTATGAGTGCCTATCGAAACACCAGCACAGCGGTTGGTAAATGGTCCACGTCCATATCAAAAGTGGATCACAGCCTGAACCAGGAGATGCACGGAATCTCGCTCCAATCATCGCAATGAACGCCGCGCTCTTCATCGCCTCGCTAATCTCCATGAGCCGCCTCGTCTGGACGAGGCTGCACGGGTTGTAGCCCATGGGTTGGCAACGCATGATGCTGTCACAGGTTCGCAGGCGCACCTCACAGCCAGGCGGTGCGCGGCCCCCGCTCGCCCAGCAGAAGCTGTTGCGATGCGAAAAGCCAAAAAAAGTTGAGGGGGGCCCACCTACTGAATGATGCATCTGGAGTGGGCTGGAGGAGGAAGAGGAGGGGCAGGAATTGCTCTAGGTAGCCAAACCTCGAGCATCGAGCCCCGCGACGCGCGACGCGCGGTCATCCTCGTGCCCTCGCGCGTAGCCTGCCGCGCCGAGGCGTGGTGGGCAAGAGCCCGACGGCGAGACACGCTATAAGCCAGAGTTCCTGACTGTCTACCGGCGCTCCCCTCCGTGGCAGACCACCCGGGCGGGGTCCTGCTCGGAGCCCGACTCGCACAGGTCGGCGAGGAGCGAGCTCACGAGCACCACGCGGGACAGGAAGTTGAGGCCGAGGTGGTACTCGTGGCCGTCGACCTCGGCCCGTGCCCGCGCGGCCGCCCGGGCGGCCGCGGAGAGAAGGGGCCGCACCGCCGCACCCTCCTCCTCCTCCCTATTCGGCGACGACGTCGAGACCCTGCCCCTGCGAGAACTGAGATCGGTAGGAATAAATGTGTATACATACGTGTGTATATATATATATATATGTATACATATATATATATATATATATAAACTTGTTTGGGAGGTCCTCGTAGATCTCTTGGATCGGCGCTGGATTCTCCTCCTCCAGAGGTGCTCGCAGATTTAGTGGACCGACGCTGGGTCCTCTTCCTCCCTCTCCTCCTCCTCCTCCTCCTCCTCCTCCTCCTCCTCCTCCTCCTCCAACCTCCTCGTCGTCGTCAACATCATTTTCAGTATCATCATCATGATCATGATCATCATCGTCATCATCATCATCATCATCATCATCATCATCATCATCATCATCATCATCATCACCATCAGCATCATCATCAGCAGCATCATCATCGTCATCATCATAATCATCACCACCACCATCATCATCATCAGCATCATCGTCGTCGTCATCTGCATCATCATCATGACCACCACCATCATCATCATCAGCATCATCAGCATCAGCATCATCATCGTCGTCGTCATCGTCATCATCAGCATCAGCGTCAGCGTCAGCATCAGCATCAGCATCAGCATCATCCTCAAAATCATCGGTATCATCATCGTCATCATCAGAATCAGCATCATCTTCATCATCATCTTCATCATCATCAACAGCATCCTCATCCTCGTCCTCGTCCTCCTCATCATCACCATCATCATCATCAGGATCAGCAGCATCAGCATCTCTCATCATAATCGTCACCAGTATTATCATCAACACCATCATCAGCAGCAGCATCATCAGGATCAGCATCATCAACAGCATAATGATGATGATGATGATGATGATGATGATGATGATGATGATGATGATGATGAGGATGGCCAGCATAATAATGATGACGAGGACGTGATGCTGATTATGGTGGTGATGCTGATGCTGATGAGGGTGATGAGGATAGTGATGATGGTGATGATGATGATGGTGGTGGTCGTGGTGATGATGATTATTGGTGATGACCAGGATGGTGTTGGCGAGGATGGTGATGATTGGGGATAATGAAGATGAGGATGGTGATGATGATGATGCTTATGATGACGATCACATGAATATGATTGTGATGATGGCGGTGATGATGATGATGATGATGATGATGATGATGATGATGATGATGATGATGGCGATGACGATGATGCTGATGATGATGCTGATGTGGGTGAGGATTACGATGATATGGATGATGGTGTGGACGATGATGGTGATGAGTATGATCATCGTGAGCAGGACCATGATCATGATCATGATGATGACAGTCATGTTCAAAATGATGAGGATGAGGACGATGATGATGATGAGGATACTGATGATGCTGATGATGGTGTTCGGAATTAGTAAGAGGATGTGTTCGATGATGGCTAGGATGTTCACGAAGATGATGATGCTGATTATGATGAGTAGGGTGGTGATGCTGATGATGGTGATGATGACTATAACGATTGATGGTGGGGATGACGATGATGATGATCCTGATGAAGATGATGCTGCTGATGATGCTCGTGATGATAATGATGGTTATGACGATGATGACGATGACGATGACGACGATGATGGTAGTAATGATGATGATAATGATGATGCTGATGATGACGATGAAGATGATGCTGCTGCTGCTGATGATGATGATGATGATCCTTGAGAGCCTGGCAACGGCACGACACCATCAAGACCCCTTTCCCTCAGGACCCGCTCCCCCCCGTGGCGACATGTGCTCTTCGATGTCCCCGCCCCGATCTTTCCGGACCTGACATGGCTGGAAGACACATGACTCGGCCCCTGCTCCTCGACCCCTCCTGCTCGACCCCTCCTCCTCGATCCTTCTCCTCCTTCTCCTCCTCCTCCTCCTCCTCGATCCTCCCTCCTCCTCTTCCTCCTCCTCGATCCTACTGGATCCCTCCTCCTCCTCCTCCTCCTCCTCCTCCTCCTCCTCCTCCTCCTCCTCCTCCTCCTACCCCTCCTCCTCCTGGATCCTACTGGATCCCTCCTCCCCGATCCCTCCTCCTCGATCCTCCTCCTCCTCGATCCCTCCTCCTCCGGGCCTCCGCCGCAGCTCCGCCCGCAGAACCGCCCCTCGCCTCACCCCCGCGAGCCTCCGCAGGCCCCTCCGCCGAGGGCGGGGTGCCAGCCCCCCTCGGACCCCTCGCAAGCGAAAGGCCCTCCTCCTCCTACTCCTCCTCCTCCTCCCTCCTCCCTCCTCCCTCCTCCCTCCTCCCCCTCCCTCCTCCTCCTCCTCCTCGCCCTCCTCCTCCTCCTCCTCCTCCTGCTGCTCCTCCTCCCTCCTCCTCGCCTCCTCCTCCTCCTCCTGCTCCTCCTCCTCCTCCTCCTCCTCCTCCCTCCGCCCCCTCCCTCCTCCCTCCTCCTCCTCCTCCTCCTCCTCCTCCTCCTCCTCCTCCTCCTCCTCCTCCTCCTCCTCCTCCTCCTCCTCCTCCTCCTCCTCCTCCTCCTCCTCCTCCTCCTGCTCCTCCCTCTCCCTCCGCCCCCCTCCTCCTCCTCTCCTCCTCCTCCTCCTCCTCCTCCTCTCCTCCTCCTCCTCCTCCGCCTCCTCGTTGAGCGCCCTGCGCAGGCGGGCGGGCAGGGCGGCCCTCGACAAGACGAGGGCAGAGTCGAGACATCATTGCGCCGATGTACACCTGGAACCTCTGAGAGCCGGTGGGCTTGGAGGATGTACTGGGCGCCGCGGCCAGAGTCAGAGCTTTCTGGAATGCTCTGGGAGCGTTCTGGAGCACTCGGCGGTGGACAAGCCTCCCTCTAGTAAACCTCCCCTTAGTGAAAGCGGCCTAGGACCGAAACCGAGGGACCTGGCCCCCAAAAACGACGGATGCGACGCCCTCTCGCGAACCGAAAACGGCCAGTTCCTGAATCGACGTGTCAGGGTAGGAGGTCTGCCCACCCCCGAAGCACTCTGGAACGGATTCATCCTCGTCTCAGCCCCTTCCGACCGAGGCAGGGGGGGAGGGCGGCCCTCGACGCACCGAAGAGGCGAGGCCCCGTGTGATCACAAAGGATCCTGGCGTTGCGGTGCATGGCATCTCGGACCGTGAGTCTCCTCCTCCTCCTCCTCCTCCTCCTCCTCCTCCTCCTCCTCCTTGCCCGATCTGCGCAGAATTGCCACGTCCACGGTCAAGCCCAGGGGCCCATGGGAGGGTCTCTCGCGGTGTTGCGCCTCCTCTCGGACGACCCTGCGCTCAGGACGGGCATGTCCCCCTCTACAGGCGGAGCTTGGACGAAAAATAAAGCAGTCAGGAAATATCACAAAATTGTCAAACAAAGTCCAAGAACCGTCCCTTCACTATTTTTTGACTATGTTTGATTATTCCTGTTTTGGATTATTTTTGAATATGTTTGAGTATTCCTCCTGCAGAGGGACGTGCCCGACTTAGCCCTGCGTGGCGAGAGGCTGCTGCGCGCACCGTCACCCGATGGGCCAGGGAGGCCTGGATCGTGCAGGCTCGGGCCCTCCCGTTGGCCCCTTCCTCCTCCTCCTCCTCCTCCTCCCCTCCTCCTCCTCCTCGCCGCCTCCTCCTACTCCTCCTCCCCTCCTCCTCCTCCCCTCCTACTCCTCCTCCTCTCCCTCCTCCTCTCCTCCTCCTCCTCCTCCCTCCTCCTCCTCCTCCTCCTCCCTCCTCCTCCTCCTCCGCCTCCTCCTCCCTCCTCCTCCTCCTCCTCCTCCTCCTCCTCCTCCTCCTCCTCCCTCCCTCCTCCTCTCCTTCTTCCTCCTCCTCCTCCTCCTCCTCCTCCTCCGCCTCCTCTCCTCCTCCTCCTCCTCCTCCTCTCCTCCTGTTCCTTCCTCACTCCTGCTCCTCCCCCTCCTCCCCCTCCTCCTCCTCACCTCCTCCTCCGCCTCCTCCTCCTCCTCCTCCTACTCCTCCTCCTCCTCCTGCTCCGGCTCCTCTCCCCCCTCTCCCCTCCCTTGTCCTCCTCCTCCTCCTCCTCCTCCTCCTCCCTCCTCCTCCTCCTCCTCCTCCTCCTCCTCCCCCCATCCTCCTCCTCCTCCTCCTCCTCCTCCTCCTACCTCCTCCTCCTCCTCCTCCTCCTCCTCTCCTCCTCCTCCTCCTCCTCCTCCTCCGCCTCCTCCTCCTCCCCCTCCTCCTCCTCCACTCCTCCCTCCTCCCTCCTCCCTCTCCCTCCTCCTCCTCCCTCCTCCCTCCTCCCTCCTCCTCCTCCCCTCCTCCTCTCCTCCGCCTCCTCCTCCGCCTCCTCCTCCGCCTCCTCCTCCTCCTCCTCCTCCTCTCCTCCCTCCTCCCTCCTGACCCTCCTCCCTCACCTACTCCTCCCTCCTCCTCCTCCTCCCTCCTCCTCCTCCTCCTCCTCCCCTCCTTCCTCCTCCTCCGCCTCTCCTCCGCCTCCTCTCCTCCTCTCCTCATCCTCCTATACGCCGACCGCCTCTCCTCCTCCTCCTCCTCCTCTCTACCTCCCTCCTCCTCCTCCTCCTCCTCCTCCTCCTCCTCCTCCTCCTCCTCCTCCTCCTCCTCCTCCTCCTCCTCCTCCTCCTCCTGGATCATGCAGGCTCGGGCCCTCCCTTTGGTCCCTTCGTTGGGCGGAACTTCGAGAAGGGTGGAACTCTGACCTCTCTTCAAGTACGCACCCCTGGGGAGCGTATCTTTAACTCGGCGTTCCGGCATTGGGCGGAAAAGGGGGGGGAGGGGGGGGGTCTGGCTCCTGACCTCTGCTTGGTGCGACTGTTTGGAACCGTGCGTCCTATGGGGGAAGCTCCACATGCTCGACACAGGCGCTAAAAACTGCCGAGATGCACTCCACGGGGGGGGGCGCCGATCGGCAAAACAATGACTAAAACAACGCCCACATTCGCATCCCTTAGTAGCGTCGGTCTCGGAACCGACGTTTGTTTGGGACA